ATTGACCGTCACATTACTAACGCCCCCACGGCTAAAAGGCGAGCATGTTTGGTAGGATGGGGATGCGAACCCGCGACCCGCAGATTGCGAGTCGAGCTTTTTAACCACCTGGCCATGTACTCAGTTTGGACCTAGAGTAAATATCTTCAACGGCGTGAGGCCCGAATTGATGGCTAGACGGAATAAACTTGTTGAAGGCCGGACTGTTAACAGCATACAACAACTAAAAAAATAAACATTCTTCCCGCCATAAAACGAGAACATTTGACGGGAATTTCGAACAAATTATAGACGCACAAAAGTAGAAGATAACAAAATAGTGCGCTTTTAGGAAACCTGCATTCTATTGTTACCTTTACACTTTGCTGTGAATGAGTCCTTTAGTTAAACAATTTTAGAAATTGTATTAGCATGGCTGTATTCCACTACTGAAAACTTATTTGAATGTCACACTTAGCTGTCTTGTCATTTAAACATATATATATAGGTACAAGAGGAATACAAACAGTAACTGTATTTTGTAACTTTTGTTTCGGTTTTGGTTTCTTATCGGTTGAGACCTATCAGTTTTGTGTTTCGTTTACATACAGTAATTTTATCAGTTACATTATAATATTTCATACTTTTCTACAAGTCCAAAAATGCCGTAAGAAATTTGCCACTGAATGCACCAAGTATCAGAAGCTACGCTATTGGTATATAACTGTTGAAGTACTGAGAATAATACATACAACTGAATCTATCCTGTCAGGTCACGATGATGTAAAGGATAGTAACTACATATCAAGATCACAGTTAGGACAAGTTTCGGACAGCGATGAACAACAGAATGCTGTAAATATGAGCGTGTTATTACGATACTGGTTGAATGATGGTCAGAGAGTGTGATAGTTTTTCATTAATCCTTATTTCTTTAGTAAACAATTTCTTACCTATGTGCAGAAAGAAGAAACCTAACATTCCAGGAGGAATTATAGATGACTCTTAATCAGAGTTTGGGTTCAACGTTAAGTCAGTAAGAACCATAGAAACAGGCTACCACAGTTTAATATAGACTTCTAAATTGTCGAGCCTCAATAGGATCACCGATTTGCTTGAGCAGTCTATGGAACATAACACAAAATTAATGTGTTGCCCACAACCTAGTCGCCCCCTCCTCCACACACACACCTGGCGTCATAAATGAACCTCTATTGTAAAGCCTGGAAAAACGTTGAGTAACGGCTTGATTCAACAGCACCTTACAAACCCAAGGAATTTACGTCAGTATATCAAAAATGGAATTTCGGCTCTAGGACAAACTGCCAATTCATCTGTCAATTTGGATTACAAGATTCATTGGTTCTAAACTGTCAGCAATAAAGCTCTCAGCACAAGACTGAAATCTTACTCTGTAGGTGTCCTTGTCTTTTGTGGTTAATGGGTAAAGATTTAACATTGCTTCTTTAAAATTTATAATAATAATTTTCGTTTTATTTCTTACCCTAGAACATAACACTTTTTTAATTAGACCCATTAATTCATTTTTATAGTTTCTTAAATAGAAGCTGTTAAAGAAAACTACCAGAGAATATCTGTTTAAGTTGATTCTATTTCTCTTTTTAAGCTGGTTCTATACAACTGTTGAATTTAAACTCTCTGTTTTACTAGATGTATAACATTTTTTATAAAGTTTCTGATTACGATTCGTACAGGAAAAATATAAAATAACTCATTCATAATGATTAGAAACCTACTTTAAGTAAATATATAGTAGAAACAGCTGATGTGGGTATTAAAAACTTTTATTTGAAACACAAAATAATTAACAGCGTTTCGACTATCTTAGGTCATCATTAGTTTAAGAGTGATTTTTAAAAATTCATTCTTAAATTGACGATGGCCTAAGAAGGTCGAAAGGTTGTTAATTATTTTGTGTTTTAAATAAAAATGTTTAATGCCCATACCAACCGTCTCTACAAACTAAAAGTCACTTTTTCCAAACATCTACAACTACACTGATTAAATGCATCCCAGCTACAGTGTAAAATCGTGGGAAAAAAATGATAGAGTTTCACAGCTTTAGAAAGCTTTTACGAAAAACCACTTCATAGCCCTAGTATGACAGATTCAGTGTTCTATTGGAATATTTTATAGCTTTCATTTTGATTATACACAGCAGATCAGTCAAAAGATTTGTGGCTGCCTGTTCGTTAGCGGAATAATAATAAATAAGATAGTGACGAAAGAAGAATTAGGGGCCAAAAAGTGGCTTTAAGAAAGAAAATTTTATGAAAATCATAACACGCACGTGCACATACACACACGTGTATTTATAAAATGTTAATAAAAGGATAAAAAAGGAAAGTATGTGAATAAAAATGACAGTCTTCTCAGTGTATCAGCAGTGGACATGCTTTTCCTCACTTATGTTTCGCTATTTCCGCCAACCAACCAAACGACAATAGCAATCTTCAAGTATAGTTTTCGTTATTAACGTATTTGAATTTTTTGCTGGATGTTTTGAAATTGATTCCTTATGAAGTTGAATCATGGTTATTGCGTCACAAAACTGACTACACTATAAACGTAAGATGTTTCGACGCACCTTCTCACACCTCTTTATTTCTCATATATTTCATCATATGTAAAGTAAAGTTTCGGAGGTTTTAATGAGGTCTTCAAAACTTTCAAGTAGACCTGAGTCCTACAGAAGATCCTCACTGAAGTCTGGGAGGTTATTACGTACATACGAGAGGTTAATTGTATCTAAACTTGTCTGTTCAGGAGGTCGTTTCACATCCTCACATCGCTATAGCTGAAAGCTTTCTACGTTGCTGTCAGGACATTTTCTAAACTGGTATTTTCCAGTGTTCTACAATGGTGTCCATGAGAAAACCTTGGAAAGTAGTTGCTTTAAAAACATATCTCTAGGTTTTCCTGCGTCTTCTACATTTAAGCTGTTGGATCTTGATGTGTATCACAAAATATTGGGTTAGTTTGTTAAATGTAAAACTGTTGCCAAAATACGTTTTTGTTATGTTTGAGTTATATGTTTAATTATCATGAAGAAATATAAGTATATATACATACACACAAATACATATGTGTGCATGTGTCCATACATTAAAAACATTATTCACATTATTTTACCAAAACATTTCAACGTCGAAAGTAAGCCAAAATACAAGTCATTTCACTTTTAGAGATATCCATTACATAATTATTAAATGTATAAAAAAAATGCTAATAATTTGAAAAAAACATCAAACAGGAAAAGGTAGGGTATTGATAGAAGCGTGTTGTTTATTTCCTAGTAATCACAAATACCGCAGCGTACACGTCCTCGAATGTCTCAAACTGACACATGTATGACATTGCACAACTGAGATTAACTATGAAAACAGGTCTTAGGTCTGATTGGCTATTTTCAAAAAGAAAAAACAAGAAGAAAAAAAAACCTGTTCGGTCTCAGTAAAGGAAGCTTTTATATGTATCAGCTTCCACTTCTGACAACACAGTCTCTTTCATGTTGGGTTGCGAAAAGTAAAGAAAAGATGTCCTGTATAGCATATAGAGTAGTTTATAACCCTAGCACCAGATGTCACTGCTAATATGCTTTTGTTTTATTTTACCACCAGTTGTTCTTCTTAGGCTTAAATAATTATTTCACTCCTCTTGCCAGACGTCACTGTTACGTAACACTTGGGTGCAGTCCGTCACCACACGCCTACCAGTAATACAAAAATAACGTTTCTTATCTTTTTCACAAGATGTCTCTGGTACATTGATCAGTTAATTTTACAATGACAAATATAAATACCTGTATATACAGAACCAGTATGTTTCTCTTTTTTTTTATCGGAATAGCCATGTAAATATATAAATATATATAGGTTTGTGACCGATTCCCTAAATAAAGAAAATATACAATATTTTAAGGTTTTTATCCTGACTTCTTATTTACTGTTACTCTTACCATAACGTAAATGGATAATAATATTTTCTAGTGTTTGGTAAACATTACCGTTTTAATTACACGCCCACGTAAATTCTGCTATCAGTTAAGAAACGAGATTAATACGTGCACTAGTTATGTTTTATAGTTGAGTAATATATATATATATATATATAGTGGTAGGTATAACTGAAGACCAACAAATCAATGAAGAAAACTAATCTATGTGTCTTTGAAAAGTTTCAGTTTGAATAATTTACGTCACAAGACAGGATCATATCTTAGGTATCTTACTCACCACACTACCTTACTCATAACATGTTTCATTACTACACAAATTCAATAAGTTCAGTCCTTTGGCAGTTCGTGTAAACGTAAGCCAAAATGCCATATGTGTGTGTGAAACTGTAGTATGTAATAAGTGCAAGAAAAATAAAGATAACAGAAAGTACTTAAGCATATCACGGATTATTCGAACGCGTACATCGAGCGATAAGAGTCAATACGTTTAGTAATAGGCTAAACACGATTCGCTGCCACGTCAGCATATTAAAATTCACTATTAGTTTTTTGAC